AAATGTATATATATATATATATATATAAATGTATATATATATATATAAATGTATATATATATATATATATATATATATATATAAAAATAAGACGTACATAAAAATTAGCTAATTTGATAGAAATTTTAAAATAATTTAAATAAGTACAATATTAAAAATTGTGTTTGATACCATTTTATTAATATTAATTTTATATTTATTTCTTTATAATAAAAATAAGTAAAAAAAATATAATTTTAGTAAATAAATCAGAATGGCGATTGTGTCTTCATGTCTAAAAAATCCTATATTTGTATACAAGTATAATTATAAATACCATAGTTATTAATATATATATATATATATATATTAAAATTTAAAAAATTATATAAAATTATTATTTGATTGTTATATATATTGATTTATATATATATATATATATATATATATATATATATATATATATATATATATATATCATTTACAAATCAAAATAAAGATAACTTTGATTTCAACTATTAAACTAATCTAACTTAAAAACAAAGTGTCTTGCTTATATATATTACTAGTTAAAGAATTGAATTAAATAGAATTAAAATGTTAAGATTTATATAAATGTACATTTAAAAAAATTTAAATAATATAAATTTTTGTTAGATTTTGATTTACATTAAAAAAAATATTTAATTTTAATTACGTTAATATATATATATATATATATATATATATATATATATATAAATAATTTGAAATTTAAATTCAATTACATTATTGAGAAATGTTGAAAATTATACAAGGTTTTACCTATCCACATTTTATGTATGTTCAATGAAATTTCATTATCATCTGACATAGATATTTGTTATAAAATTCATAGTTTTATGAATTTATTAATTTTCATATTACTTATATTTCATATCTTTCTAACTTCTCTGATGTTGTATATGATACCAAATTGTAAACACCACTGTTTAATTTATAACTAAGTTCCTAACATAGCTCTCTGTTAAATGTCATATTTAATCAAAAACAACACCTCGAAATCAAGTGTTGGAAGAAACAAGAAAAAAAATTAAAATCCAAGTTGAGCACAAATTATTAAACCGGAAAGACTGCGATTAATATGTTATGAAAGCTCATTGAATCCCCCACAAGAGACAGCATCCTTTTCTTAACCTTCGTGAACTTTTAGGCAAGAGGTTGATATCTATTATTGAGGTCAGTTATGAAGTATCTGGAACACTCTCCTTTATGCGGGGGTAAGGCCGATGACATGGCGCACCGTTCCCGCCAAATGGTCACAGAATCAAAATTTCTCTGCCCCTTCTTTTTCGGGAAAAGACCTCATGACCGTCAGTCTCCGGCATTCTCTTTCGAAACCGTTGCCAGTATTCTCGCATTGATTCTTTTTAGCATTGATTCCTACCTTTGCTTCGGAGAGGTTGACTTGCCCACACTTACGGTCGATCCAGCAGCATATTCCGTCGTCGCTCGTTGCTTCGTTTGGTCAGCAACATGCTGACTTTCGCGGCAGTATATTCTTCACTTCTACTTGGATCAAATTTTCACTTAATCGATGTTGTGAGTGGAATTTCTTCCACTCACTTTGTTTCATTCCTATACAGTTCAAGGTCCACACCTCGTTAACCATGGAGACATGCAGGTGCTGGTTGCCGTCACTGCTATATTGATCTTCACATCAGCACCTCTTTGAAGCATAAATATTCTGTAGATGACCAGTATGTTATCGATGTTCTCTTGAAAGGCTGTTGTTAGAACGTGTTATATGGTTAAGTTTTGAACGTCTTTGTTGCTACGGAAGGCGCTGCAAGATGAGGAGAAACTAGTTTTTTCCATCTTCCAACTATGTGCATCGTATGGTTACTGACCCGCACATGCTTTCGGAGTCAGCAATTTTCGTCTTCCTTCGTGAAGGTGACTGTCAAACTCTAGCTACGAATTTCATTCTTCATCGATCGAACACGAATGAGTAGATTTCTGCGCTGAAAGGCGTGTCCTTAATACATAACGTCAGTTCATAGTTGGTCTAGTTATGTTTGTAAAAGATTGTCATCTGCAACTTGGTGACCTGATATTGTTCACTCTGAAGTCAGACTCAAGTTTTCAGCTCGACGAATGCACATTGTCGCCACAGAGCGAGACACTTCTCATGTTTTCTCATTTCTTGTGTGCTTACAAATTGCCGACACTCTGATAGTATTTGAATCTCCCTCTCCAATCTGTGTCCAGGGGCTATCATGCCTTTCTGTGTAAGATCGCGCACAGTTGATAATGTTTCTTTTTTCTTTACAGTAGTTTTAGTGGCCTCATTTTTTTCATACCTTCTATGTAGATTTATTCAGAAACGTCTTATAAAAAACAAGAGTATCTAGATATTTAAGATAGGCGTTGATTAAATTTCACATCATTATTCAAGAAATGCAAAGACAGATCCATTAAAGATTGTTTATGGCTTTATTAATAAAGAAAATTAGAGTTTGAGAGAGATTCTTTAAAAATAGATACTGTTAGGTAACAAAATATCTTATCAAGATACATGTAAAATGTAAATTACACAAGAAATCTATAAAATGATATATGTATATATATATATATATATATATATATGACGATTAAAGCTTTAGCTTGTTTCAAAACCATAAGCATGTAATATTCCTCCTCTACATGGATGAATATTTATTTTACTGATAAATTTATTGAAAAATCTTACTAAGAAATTCAAGGTAGTCTTTATACTAAGAAATTCAAGGGAGTCCGCTTTGAAAGACCATGATAGAAAAGTTGTGGATATATTTCTTGCTTAAAATATATAAATACATATATCTTAGAAGCTTTGAATTTAACATAAAATGAGAATAGTCTATTTTAAAAAAAACATTTAATAATTAATATATCTAAGTATGGTATATTCTTATTCTAAAAAATTTAAAATTTTAAAAATATTTACTTAGTTTTTTATTTGATATATTTATTTTAAGCAAATTTTGACAAAGAATTTTGAGATTTTATAAAACCACTTATTGATAGAGTAAATTCTATAAAGATATCACTATATCTACAACAAATTCTAAAATATATCACTATTTATTATATTTTAGATAAAAAATCATTTTATTTGGTTTTTTTTTTCTTAAGATTTCAAAACTAATTTGTTTTAGTAAAAAAAGGCAGTTATATGAACTTTCTCAATCTCAACCAATCAAAGAGTCAAAATTTTGTAGCTTCTCACCTTCTTTTATAAGTATGAAGATCCCCCCTCCTCTCCTCTCCATAACAAGTTAATTTAATAGTCTTAAAGTTAATTATGTTAATTAAATTTTTGAATTAAATGGCATGTATTAAATAAAAATGTAACTAATATATATATATATATATATATGTGTGTATATATATATATATGTATATACATATAATTTATACTATCAACATAAAAAATACTTAATTTTAGATGAATTTTTTATTTTATAATGTATGGACAATAATGATTTTTAAAATAAAAATTAAAATTATCATATCTTGGATTTGATTGATATGTAATCTAAGTTACATATTTTAAATATTAAAGACAATGGCATTTGTCTCTATGCATCCATCTAAAAGGTATGACACCTCTATGTGCTTGAATTCATCTATGAGTTCATCTAATATTATTAGTCAATTTATATCTCATTCAAGTGTCTTAATAAAAGTAAAAGGTAAAGAGAGAGGCTCAACATCTAAGCTTGATACCAAGAGCCACATTCCATGAGTTTTAACTAAATGTATATTGTCGACTTTACATGAGACACTTGTTTTTTTTTTTGGTTATAAATTTATTGTTGTTGCAATGCTAATTTAAAGAATAAACCCTTGTAGCAATTTTCTACCTTTTCTACAAGCATTAAGGATCTCATCATTTCAATGCATTCCCCTAGAAGCAAAATAAGGGACTCCAAAGCTAGTAGATATAGATACATATAAATGGACATATTTCACAAAAATAGATAACCTAAAAAAGCCTAATTATTAGTCGTCATTAACGATCTCATCACTTCAATACATTCCCCTAGAAGCAAAATAAGGGACTCCAAAGCTAGTAGATATAGATACATGTAGATATATATATATATATATATATATATATTTCACAAAAATAGATAACCTAAAAAAGCCTATTTATTAGTCGTCAATTAACTTTTTCTAAAATTATTAGTCGAAAATTATAAATAATTTGTTACGTGATTCCTCTCGTGTGTTGATTTCTTGGACGCTTTTTCCAACACATTAATTAGTACCGTATCCATGGCATTCAAATAGCTATCTCCCGGTTCAGATCCTGTGTTCAGATCTACTGACAGCATCTCCAGAGCCTGAATGCAGGCATGGAGACAATACTGTTGAATATTCCTGGCAGAAGCAACACAGGCTCCGATAGCTGTCGTCACAACTCCCACTACAACACACAGAGAGCCATTACACTCTGTCCACTTTCAGCTGACGGAAAAGAGCTGATGCGCCTAGTCGCACACAACACACCATCATATCCAGGCCTAACCACCAGTTTGTTTGAATGCACAAAAAGCAGAACTGTCTTTATTCTTTCATGGGTCCTCTTACATGTATCTAGTGGTAGCCATGTGGGTATTCCACCAACAGTCCACTAATCTGTGATCCGACAAAATCGAGATAACTGGATTAGCGAAAGGTGATACATTTCAACCAACGCCACTCTGGGAGAAACAGAGCAAAGCAAGGCAGTAAGGGTACCTTTCAGCATACGAATGAGAGGCCAACGGTACCCTGGTATATTCTCTCCAACTCAAAGACCAGAGGCACTTCTCCGACACGTCTCAATTTTATCATTCATTGACAGACATATGAGCAAGAGCTTACACTTGGACAATTCCGTACTCAGAAAACAACTGATCTAAGCTTCTGAGTTGATGGATCAACTCTAGGTGTTTAATCATAAATTCATACCAAATAGTGGGAAAATATATAATTCTGAATAGTACCAGTAATTGAGATAAATGAAGTCGTACTCTATTATTTGGAGGGAGCTTCATGAGGAGTTCAGCAACATGATGTAAGCAAGAATGTCTGTGATCTCTTTGCCTTAGGATGTTCACAACAGTCCTCTGTTGTAAATGCATTGCCGAGAGCATTAGAGCAAGCGGTAGGCAAGTAATTTTCTACTGCTGGGAGTTGGCCATTAGCTCTATCATAAGAGCAAGGAGCATGTTAAGAATCAAAGGCTACCATGACCTCTCACACAGCACTTAGTTTTAAATACATGAACTTTGTGCAGTGAGGAATAAACAATAACTAGAACTCACAATTGGTAAGAGAACAAGCTACAGTCCAGGAATCTCTCTATTAGCACTTCCAAAGGAGCAAATAAAATAATAGGAGCCCGAACAAGAGCTCCTGATGGACCTGCCAGTACGATGACTATGTACTTACTTGTATACCAGCCATCTTGGTAGTTATCTTGTCCCTTTGGTTTTGCTCGGAGGTACTCTGAGAAGCTTCTAAAGAAGGCAAGACGGATTCAATAGCATGAACGACATCACATGTTTCTGAATGAGGATCCTGCTCGTCCAAGGACGGAACTTTGATGTTCAAAGATCCCTCATTAGAGAGGCTATTGAGGGTTCTTCCAGAAGAAAGCGCTTTTTGTTCAATGAAGTTGTACAGTTCCACATGGAACTTGTGATTTGGCGAGAAAACATCATTTTTAGATGAACCACCGTTGGTCTTGCAGAACCAGGGTAGAGTGTCGAAGTCCATCACCTAAAATGACAACGAACTATCGTCAGTAACAAAGACACCAAACATGAATATTAATTAGTGCCTAAAGAGGTTCCGTCACGTCATATCGCGTATAGAGTATCGATTTTAGTAGCTCAACCTGGAAAGATCACAAAAAGTAATTTACCTGAAGAAGTTCTTCCTGGCCATTCCCTCTGAGAACTTGTACTTTGCGCTTTGTTCTTTCTTGCAACATTGGCTTCACCGCCTATTCATACACTAAAAGCATAAGACTCATGATTACTACAGAAAATTCTGAATTTTTGAAGTATAAGAGCACCATCAAGCGACTGAATTTCATCAATATCAAATGGCATAGTGTACCTTCCAGCAGGCAGAAAATACATATGGTGCATTGACAATGTAGTAGGTATCAGTTTTCTCTGGGTAGTTTAAGTCATCCACGGTTGCGATAGCAGTGGAGGTCTTAAGTCGGCTGAAGGCAGAAAGCCGAAGGCCAGTCATGTCCAAAATCTTCACGCAGGATCCCACATGACGCCCTTTTTTTGTACTAATTTCAGGCTGCGCAGATATCAACTCAGCATACTAGGCAGAACAACCGTAACGATAAACAAAGGAGGGGTAGACAGAACATGATTTTATAAAAAGGTTCTTACCAGGATCATTCTATCCCTGTACTCGTTTATCTGTATATGTGATTGAACATAACTTTCTATCTGCAAAAGAACGTAGTTTTCAGAGTCATTCCCATATATAGCCTTACTGTTTATGAATATCTAATCCGCAAATGCAACAGCTCTTTATCATAATCTACTCTCAGGGATGCAGACGTTCCTCGGAATGCTAGAGCAGGTCAAATTAATAATACCCCAAATTGTACAAAGAAGCAGGTACTTAGAATTTTTCATAATTTATTTGAATAATCAGATCTAACTAGGAAGGTTCTTCTTGAATTTGAGGTAAAGCACACTTACTGAAGCTTGGTCAAAGGTGCTGTTGCCCACTCCAATCGCAAATACAGGCCGTCCCTGAAGATAAAAGCGCATGATGAGGCATATGTCACAGACATGAAGAAATACTTGTTAACACAAGAACTACAGCTATTGATAACAATGCTACGAAATCGTTTTCGACCTATCCTGAGAGTTGTGACATCATCACAAAGCAACGCAAGCTGAGATAGTACCGTTGTTCACTTATAATTAACGAAAGATTTTTAGCGAAGTGTAGCGTGAAAGAGCACCCCTAAAGGCGCAACTTAAAGGCAACTACCTTCGATACATAGCCGACATATTAGTCAGGTCATGATGGAAATTGAAAATTTGTGCTTCTATTTGCAGATAAAACCTCAGCTAAGATGAGGACTTTCAAGTCTCCAGTTGAAAATCTTTCGAGATTACCAAGAAGATACCCATATCCTGTAACTGAGGAAGAGACTTGCCTGTTTGCAATAACCGCAAAATCCAATCAGATGGCTTTGGCGTATAGCATTGAATTTTGATTTCGGTAATATAGGTTTCTGCAGCATGAAAAATACTCAGTTAAACTGACAATAACAAACAAGCTTCGCTTCAAATATGTATTCTACACACAAAGAATAATGCAATGGATGAAAGCGTGTCGGAATCAATGAACTGAATTCAAACTATACAGCTACATCCTTTAACATGAGGATCCAGTAAAGATCTTACCTCCAGGATATTGTCAATCCCGTTATTGACTCTCCAATTTAGGCTTTCAATAAGCTGCATTAAATCAGTATCACTGTGAGTTACAAGGCAATAATCTCACGTTTAAAAACAGCTTACTCCCGAAGAAGAGTAAAATCTGGATTCATAACATTCATGAGGTACTCACCATTTTGCTTGCCTTGGATACATCCTCATCTCTTGCATTTAGGAATCGCTCAAGGGTAGCTTCTGGATATCCACCATGCATATTCTGCAATACGATTGCAAGTGTGGGCAACATTGTGCTCCTTTGTAAGGATTTGGTGGGTTGTTGAAAACTACCTCATATAATTAGAAAAGTCAGCAATCCTAAACAACGGTCAAAATAAAAATGTACCTGGAAACTCTGACGGAGAGGTTCATCCACTAACGAAAGAAGTCGCCGCATACAGAAACGAATCGAAGGACGATAAATTAGATCACTGATAAAGGTTAACTGAAACATTGAAATGATGGGCAAGACCTAAAGATGTGAGACACTATCTGATGCAAGTGTTAAGCATCTATAACAATGAATGAACAGGAACAGAGTTCATCGATTGATTTTCAAAGCAAACCCACTCACAGGCATCTACAGAGTCCTGCAGTTGCTTGACATTCGCCTTCATATTGGGCCGAGACATTTCTCCTCTCCGAGCCACTCTATGAGAGGAAACCAACTCCTCCAGGGTATATATCAGCACACAGTGTCCGCCAGGGCAAGCTTGTGCTTGGCGAAGTACTCAATTTGAAGTGTTACATTAAGATGCCTTGTTCAATTATTTGAAGCTCCTTTTGACTCGAAGGCGGAACTTCGAGGCACCAACTGCAATTAAATAACGCCACACGTAAGCTCTCGATCAGTAATGAAGGGCTTGTAGACAGTGACTATGTTTCATTCTCTTATTGAAACATCACTAAGTGTTGAAATAATAACGGTATTCCAGCGAAGGGCAACCGACCAAGTCTTAAAACCAAAAAGACATGGCCTGTTGGTCACAATGATACAACTCCAAAATTTCAAGTGAATCGATCTGGTCTGGGACGCTGAGTACTACGAGGACAAGCCAGGGTTCCTAAATGGAAAACCAAACTACCACCTATAGAAAACAGTGAAGAAACGTCGCTACACAACGAAAGTCGGGTCTCTGGAACACATTGCGCCTGGAAGTCAACCTAAGCCCACTTTAACCGGATCACAAGCTCCCAAACACACAGTTTCAGAGGGACCATGTCCTCGCAAAGCCATGACCGCATCTAGAACCAGAGAAAAGCACGGTAACATTCCGATGAGCGCCTAAAAAACAGTTCCGGTAACAAATGTCAACTAAGCAAGGAAAGAAGGACGATTCGTCCTGATCAAAGGCAACTTCATTCGATAAGTAAAATTTTGTCCCTACTGCGCCTTCTGCTCATTGGCATCTCATCAAATCCACTGTCAACATCCAAAAACTAGAACGATGGTCAAGGCGACTGTCAAATAAACGGATCCAAACATGAACATCTTCAGCACGACTGGAGATGAACATGGAATATCCCTCGCCATCACATTTTGAAATCAAAACATTAAGTTCGCTACGACAACTCCAGCTGAGAATGAACCAGCCTTAACTGCAGAATCCTCCTGGTAAACAAGAGAACTTCACCCACTCTCACGATATCATCCCAGCGACAACATCACTTTCGAAATGTGCACCTATGTGAAAATTACTGTTTCACGGGCACCCTACCAACAGTTAATCGAGCAAAGCAAATCGAAACATAAATCCCAGATCCCTCGCCGCTTTCTAAACTACGACCATTACAATGTCCTCCCAACGCCACAAGCAGAGCAACCTCGAGACATCGTTGACCGTCCTCTCCGGTGGAAATCAATCAATAGAGACAAACCTTGGAATCACTGGAAGAAAAATCACCTTAGCGTATCAAAACTGCTTCACCTCCGGCAACTCTGAGCAAAAGGAAAGACAGGAAAAACACACACACGAGGTTCTCCCACCATTGAAGAGAATGGACGATATCTCCGTCTACACAGCACGGCAGGAGGCAATTTGAGGGTCAATCGATAGATCTGGCAGCGCGGGAGACGACGCGACGACGGAGAAAGGGCTTTCAGATCACGGCATCGTCTCACGGCGGATTCAATCGCTCTGCAGAGTGTGCTGCCGCCCCCCCTAGCTTCACCCCAGGCCCCGCTCTATTACTCAGCCACGCTTTGAAGTTCGCCTGTCCCATTTCCAGTCTCTTTCCTCGCAACGGGGCCTATTCGTCCACTTGTCGATGCGAAATTTTGTTGACGATTCTCGATTCTCGTCCACGAACGTTCGTTCCCTTCCCGCCCAAGTCGGTCTTCCCCATTCTACTTGTGGCCAAGATGTCGACTACGGTGACTTGCTACAGGCGGTCAGCTAATCGGCATCCCTACCACAAAGGGAGCCTGCAAGTGGGGAATCCGACCTGCTCAGACAGTGGATCCAACCCTAACTGACTGACGAGAGGTTCAATTGCAGCTAGTGTTTTTTTTTTTTTTTTTTTTTTTTTTCCATTCCTTTCCTTTCCTTTCTCTTCCCCTTTGAAGAACAATGTGCCCATGACTGAATTTTAATGAGGACCCATACATGGCTTGATGTCATTTGTGTGTGTGTGAGTGTGCACAAGTATCAAAACCCTAATTTGCAGGGCGGCCATGGTGCTGAATTGTAAGAGGGGCAGGTGACCTCATTGGAAGCAGCTAAGGTGGCTTTTCAACTAAATATGCCTCACTGGGTCAGTGCTGAGTTTGACCATGTGTTGGGCATTGAATGCTGCCTCAAGCATTCATGTGCCTTTGATGAAACCTGTAGATTTGTATCAGTGAATGATATTAGTCAATGGTATATGTAGATGCATGGTGTGCTCTCATTCCCAATTTTAATGTACGATTTTCTAGAACATTGTGCACTTCAATTATTTTGTGTAAGAGATGTATACTTATTTCTTTATTTTTAAGATAAAAATGTAAACAAAAGTGGGGGAGCCAAGTTTGTTGGCCAAGTATAAGATGATTACAAGTTTAGCCTAATCTAGGGAATTGATTAAGAATTATTTGGTAGTTATATATTAAACCAAGCTACAGGAAATGAAGGTACAGAGATCTTATGCTCTGTGTTGTTGATTTTTTTCAACTTTGAATCAATAAGTAAAATCGTGATCCTTTTTTTTATTAGTGTTAGTATTGATTTCTTGGGTAGGGAGGATATGAAGTCAATTGTATGCAACAATGATTTATCCAAATGCAAACATACTTTGTACCCAAAACACAAAGAATTTTGAATTTTGTAGGAATTGAGTTGATTGCTACTACATAGGGTTTAAACCATTGTAAACAGAAACCTAGGATGATTAATAGTGTCTTCAAAGAGGTATGCAACACAAATTTAAGTCAATGCCATACTATGAGATATTTAGTAAATTAACTTGGTATTAAAATAAACCTATTTTTCATCAAAATTAATAGTGATTTTTGATCTGCATGGTTTTATGCATCTAAGAATATAACTCTTTGCAAAAAGAAAAGAAAAGAAAGTGACAAAATATATATATATATATATATATATATATTTTATTCCCTTCTTAAAACATATCAGATTATAGTTCTGAGAATGAAGAATAGTTGCAAAGTGTCCATGAGCATTGTTGTTGCGGTTATGTACAAATACTTGTTTAAGCATAGAATGTAAAAAATATAAATAGTTATTCAATCTTTTGTATTTTTTTAAGCCTTATAGTTGTGATTTAAGCGATTTTGATGTCAAATTTTGTGATGTAAAGAATTGGATAGAAAACATTAAGAATATTTTAGAAAGAGACACAAGAGTAATTATAATATACACACATACAAAACACACACACACAAAAAAAAAGAGTACATAGAAGAAAAAAGAGCTTCTAAACAAAAAAAAACTTTGTATTGATGTGGTTGTCTCCTTTAAGTATAGAAGAAGGATCACAAGAGAAGTAATTTCTCTTCACTACATTCTAAACACCATAGCTATAATATTCATTGTAACTACACTGAATGTTATGGAAAGAGCTGCCTACATTTAATGCTCTCAACACTTTTCTTTACTTGTCATAATATTTATATAACATAAAATTTACATAAAATTATGATCTATACTTTTTTATAATCTTGTATGATCAATAGCTATTGCCTCATTAAAACCTTATCTAAAAAAATCTTATTGTATTCAAAGGCAAAAACTATAGATGAAGGAAAAAGAATACAACATAATTTATTTTTTTAATTATTTAAAGAATTCATTAACTTTCTTGCTCAAAAAAAGCAAGTTGCTGCATGCCAATGCCATAAGTAAGTCACTGATGGTTGTACAAAGGGAGAGCTTTGGTGAAGAGATTAGCAAGGTTATTTGTAGATTCAATTTTTTTATATTTTAAGTACTTAATTAATAACCAAGTCATGGATATAATTAAAATAGTTTGAATCAATATGCTTTATCATGTTACCTTTAATAAAATTGACTTGCACATGTACAACAAAAGTACTATTATTTTTATATAAAATAGTTGGAGAATCATTATATGAAGTCTACAAATTGTCTAAATGAGTTTATCAATTTATTGCAACCAAATCCATTCCCAAGATGCTTCATGTAAGACAATAATTTTTGCATGGTTGGATGAAGTTGTAGTTATAGTTTGTTTCATTGATTTCCATGATATTGCAGCTCTATGTCTTAAAAATACATAGTTTGTTTGAGATTTAGATGTTGCTATATCAGATTTATATCTTGCATTACAATAACCAACCAACTTTGGATTTGTAGATTGTGTGTAATATATTTTCAAGTCTTCAAAATCTTTTAAATAATGTAATAAATATTTAATATTATTCCAATATTTTAGTGTTGGATGTGTATTGTGTCTTGCAAGAATACTAACTACAACTGTACTATTTGGTCTTGTAGATATGACTAAATAAAAGTGCTCCAACCATTGTAAGGTATGGATATTGATCTCCCAATATTTCTTCTTCCTATTTGTATAGACAATATAGTTCATCACCATCATGACCACATCCAACCATTGGTATTGACAATGAATAAGCATCAATCATATTGTATCTTTGTAGGATTTGTCTAATATACATTAGTTGGTAGAAAAAAATGTTACTATCTATGAGATGCATAATTTGAAGACCAATGCAAAAAAATATTTTTTTTAGCATTTTCATCTCAAATTTATAGATAAGTAGGTTAATAGCTATAACACATGTAGATCTAGTACCTACTAGGTTAAGATCATCAATATATATAGCAATGATTACAAAATTATTTTTATCTTGTTTAATAAACAAACAAGGAATTAGTGGATCACTTATAAATTTATTTGTAATTAAATAATCTTGAAGACACTGATACCACATGTGTTAGATTGTTTTAGACCATACAATGCCTTGTGTAATATAATACCATAATATCATCTTGGAGCAAGTGCATTTGGAGTTTTTGTTTTCAAATTAGGTGGAACTTTCATATAAATATTTGCATCAAAAAAATCATACAGATATGTAGTTGCCACATCTATGAGATGCATCTTAAGAGTAGTATAGATTGCTATTCCAATAATATATTAAAATATAATTGAATTCATGATTAGAGAATATGTAGATTCATAATCAATGCCAAATCGTTGAATAAATCCTTACGCAATAAGATGAGCTTTATGGTAGATTTTTTGACCTTTAGTATCTCACTTGCATATTAATACCATCTTATATTCTATAGAGCAATGTGTAAGAGTATTTATAATTGGACCAAAGACTTTCTTCTTATGCAAAGAAACATACTTCTCTTTGATGGTAGTCTTTTATTTTAGCAAGTTAGAGCGATGCATTGCTTCCTAAATGGTTTGAAGTTCAAGTTCATCTTTTTTTGTAAGAAACAACTTGAAAATATTGAAATGCAATGGTAATAGTTGGAAACACAATAGCGGTAGTTGAAGATGTTGAAGCATTCATTATAAATAAATCTATAAAGAAAATTTAATCTATGCTTTAAAAATAAAATTTGGTATGTACTTTATAGAATTAATTCATTAATATATTGCATACTATAGACATATGTGCAAGTGTAAATATAATTTTTTTGGATCTTGTGGTAATTAAGGTAATAAAATTCAGGAATGCACTTTTTTAGAATAACATACATAATCATTAAGTCTTATATGTTTCAAAATTCTTACTAGCATAATTTTTTATTGCATAAAAAAATAAAAAAATCACTATTTTTTAAAGTTTTTTTTATTATAGAATTAAACAAATGAATAAAATATATTTATTTATTTTTGTTTTTGGTGTATATAGTAATTAATTTTTAATTCAAAATTTGAAACATTATATTTTTCAAAGGTTCAAATTAAAGTTTTCAATCATCTAATTTTGTATTCTATTATAAGTAGGAATAATAGTGTGTAATACTTTGGAATTCCTTGCTAATATTTTTTAAAGGAAAAAAAGAAAAGAAAAAATATTTTAATATTGAATTTATATTTTATTGAGAAAATAAAAAAATAACTAATTATTAAATTATGTCCATATTTTTATAATATGCATTGCTTTAATATAACAAACCTTAGTCTTATCATTGTTATATTTATTTATGTTGCAACAAAGGTAAAATATGTACAATTTTGATTTATTATTTATTTCTAAAGATTTAAGTTGGAAATAATTAAATATTTAGATTATTTAAGAATATTATTTTAAACAATTTTCCATCTAAAGTTTAAAGTATATATGATTATAATCTAATATAGATATATTTTTCTTAATTTATCCCCCTCAACTAAGAATTTTTCCTTACTTGATAATATTTGTTGGAATAGAAGTTGTTTTTAGGTTATAAACCTATAATCAATTTTTTCATAATTATTTAATAAAAGAAGTAAAAATTTATAATTTATGTAAAGAATTAAGTGAAAATTTTATAATTTAAGTGTTCATGCGTATTCTTGTTAGACCTACATTTATTTATTTGTAACAAATAGATGAATGTGGATCTAAAGATATTACCATCTATTGGTGCCAATGGAGATGGCTAGATAATAGATGTCATGGACTCATGGCACACTGGCCAAGATAATTAGCAGAAGCCATACATGACACCACTTGCCTACCTCACACTAGCTTCTTCATGACTCTATTCTAAATTCCAG